CAGTTGTATGTAGATCAGCTGCCATGAAGATCCCCAGGCGATGACCAAATGGCCTTTGCCCTGGGATTACATTTTTAATCGTCAAGAGTTTAAGGAAGGCCCAGAAAACATGAGAGAATTCAGACTCAACAACGTGAAAATATGAAAGATATGTGCTGCCACCAGCTATTTTGTACAAAGAGAAATAATTTCTTTCCAGAAGAAAACCAAGAGATTTGGGTAACAACTCATGGCCACCTTGGTTTTGCCCCGCAGCCAGAAAACCTGTCAAACCCGATCAGTCACCCTGACTGTGGGGCAATGCCCAGAGCCCTTCTCCAAACCTAAATAACCAAATATCTTCTCATATTCGATAAAATAGCAGCAGCATACCCATTAAATATTTGGGGTAGTTCACAAAGTTCTGTTTTTTAAATGGCTGATTTAATTGCCTACTTCAATTATACAGTAATTAGGTAGCACTTTTGGAGTTTAAGAATGAGTTAATGAATTATCAGATTTACAATCAAGCTGAGTGCTTTGGTCCTACACTGAATCTGCAGCCCCTTGAAATTAATCCTGTTTACCTTCCTTGAAATTAAAATAGCCTCCTGAAATACAATATGGTATTATCTTGAGGGCATGGAATGAATTATTAGGATGGCTATTAGAGTCAATTATTGGGATTCAGATCTCTCATTACACTATGGTTTATTTATATGATATTAATATTGATGAAAAGAATAGTAGTGATATAATTAGGTTTTGTTCTGTTAAATAATGCACATAGGGATTTATGTTGCAGGCATCACACTGGACTGATAAGCCTCCATATAACATGTATTAAAGAACATTAAAAATGTACATGTCATCTACACCCATGCTACCCTGAACATGCCTGATCTCGTCTGATCTCAGAAGCTAAGCAGGGTTGGGCCTGGTTAGTACTTGGATGGGAGACCACCTAGAAAGACTGGATGCCGCAGGCATTAAAAAAAAAAAAAAGTATGTGTCTATACAGATACATATATGGACAGAGAAAGGGGAAGGAGAGACTTTTTAAAAATGAAATAGAAGGATATATACCAAACTCAGGATAATGGCTGCCCCTAGGGGTAGAAAGTAGATGAATAGGCCCAAGAGGTGAGGAGTGGAGTGGGAAAGAGCGGTAATCAAAAGGCTTTTCTCTTTCACATTTGTTTGTGTTTTCAGGAAATTAAAGTAATACCTCATTATTTATGTAATCTTTTGAGGTATATAGATAAATAAGATCAAAATATAATAGGAAAAAAGGTTCACTTCCTTTGATTCCAATATTAATTCCAAATTAGAGAATCTATCTTCAAAGACTTTATATACAGCTGTTTGTTATAATGTTAATTATGTATAAAAATGATAACATTTGAATATTATTTAACAATAAAAAGAAATAAAGGACAACATGGATGAACTTTGAAAACATTATGCTAAGTGAAAAAAAGCCAATCAGAAAACACCAGATATAGTATGATTCCATTTATATAGAATGCCCAGAATAGGCAAATCCATAGAGAGAGAAAGTTAAGTTGTGGTTCATTGTCTAGAACTGAGGGCATTGGAGAAAATGGGAAGTAGCCGATAATAGGCGTGGGGGTGGTTGTTATGGTGATAAATTTTTCTAAAATTGATTGTGATGATGGTTGCACAACTCTGCGAATATATTCAAAACCATAGAGTTGTACACTTTAAGTATACACTTTGCATGAGAGAATTTTATGGTATGTTAATTACATCTCAATAAAGCTGTATTAAAAACAGATTTTTCAGAGGAAGAAAACTTTTACCTTAATACACTATTTACATAACTCTTCAATTTATGTTTCTAATACAAACAAGTATTTTTCCTTTTTCAAATCTTTGTACCGTTAAGATTGTTCTTTTTACTGAACATTATTTCATATACATTTTATCTTGTACCAAAATAATCTACATATTTCTTCAATGCCATTCCATTATATCAATGAATACTTAGCTATTCTCAAATTCT